CCTGGAGAACGTTAGGTTTGTGAACAAACATCAACATGGGTTCTGGACAGGGAAATCGTGCCTAACAAACCTTTTGGAATTCTATGATAAAATAACGAGGATAAGTCAGGACAGAGATGGATGGGCAGACTGCATATTTCTGGACTGCCAAAAAGCCTTTGATACAGTACCACACATGAGACTGCTGTTTGAACTCTAGAGGCAGGCGGGGGGTGGGAGGAAAGGTCCTAGCATGGATAAGGAACTACCTAACAGGAAGGAGCCAAAGAGTTACGGTAAGGGGCGAGAAGTCGGACTGGCGAACAGTAACAAGTGGAGTACCACAAGGATCTGTGCTGGGACCAATTCTATTTCTTGTATATGTTAACGACATGTTTACAGGCGTAGAGTCCTACATGTCGATGTTTGCGGATGACGCAAAGTTGATGAGAAGAGTTGTGACAGATGAGGATTGCAGGATCCTCCAAGAGGACCTGAACAGGTTGCAGAGGTGGTCAGAGAAATGGCTACTGGAATTCAACACGAGCAAATGTAAAGTTATGAAAATGGGACTAGGAGATAGGAGACCAAAGGGACAGTACACAATGAAGGGGAACAGCCTACCTGTGACGACGCTCGAAAGAGACCTGGGTGTGGACGTAACACGTAATCTATCTCCTGAGGCACATATAAATAGGATAACGACAGCAGCGTACTCTACACTGGCAAAAGTTAGAACATCATTCAGAAACCTAAGTAAGGAGGCATTTAGGGCACTTTACACTGCCTACGTGAGGCCAGTCTTAGAGTATGCTGCCTCATCACGGAGTTCCCATCTGAAGAAGCATATAATGAAACTGGAAAAGTTTCAGAGGTTTGCAACGAGACTCGTCCCAGAGCTACGAGGGGTGGGGTATGAGGAGCGCCTGAGGAAACTGTGCCTTACGACACTAGAAAGAAGAAGGGAGAGGGGGGACATGATAGGAACGTATAAAATACTCAGAGGGATTGACAGAGTGGACATAGACGAAATGTTCACACGGAATAGTAAAAGAACGAGGGGACATGGATGGAAGCTTGAAACTCAGATGAGTCACAGAGATGTTAGGAAGTTTTCTTTTAGCGTGAGAGTAGTGAAAAAATGGAATGCACTTCAGGAACAGGTTGTGGAAGCAAATACTATCCATAATTTTAAAACCAGGTATGATAGGGAAATGGGACAGGAGTCATTGCTGTAAACAACCGATGCTCGAAAGGCGGGATCCAAGAGTCAATGCTCGATCCTGCAGACACAACTAGGTGAGTACAACTAGGTGAGTACACACACACATGTCAATGTTTGCGGATGACGCAAAATTAATGAGAAGAGTTGTGACAGATGAGGATTGTAGGATCCTCCAAGAGGACTTAAACCTGTTGCAGAGATGGTCTGAGAAATGGCTACTGGTCTTTAACACGAGTAAATGTAAAGTTATGGAAATGGGATCAGGTGATAGGCGACCAAAGGGACAGTACACAATGAAGGGAAACTGACTACCTGTAACGATTCAAGAAAGAGACCTGGGAGTGGACGTAACACCTAATCTAACTCCCGAGGCACATATAAATAGGATAACAACAGCGGCGTACTCTACACTAGCGAAAATTAGAACTTCATTCAGAAACCTAAGTGAGGAGGCTTTTAGGGCGCTTTACACTGCCTATGTGAGACCAATCTTAGAGTATGCCACGCCATCATGGAGTCCCCACCTGAAGAAACACATAAGGAAACTGGAGAAGGTTCAGAAGTTTGCGACGAGGCTTGTCCCAGAGTTAGGAGGGATGGGATATGAAGAGAGTCTAAAGGAACTAAACCTTACGACACTAGAGAAAAGAAAGGAATGGGGAGAAATGATAGGGACATATAAAATACTCAGCGGAATTGACCAAGTGGAAATAGATGAAATGTTCACACGTAACAATAACAGAATGAGGGGACATGGGTGGAAACTGGAAACTCAGATGAGTCATCGAGATGTTAGGAAGTTTTCTTTTAGCATGAGAGTAGTGGGAAAATAGAATGCACTTGGGGAACAGGTTGTGGAAGCAAATTCAATTCATAATTTTAAAATTAGGTATGATAGGGAAATGGGACAGGAGTCATTGCTGTAAACTACCGATAGCAGGAAAGACGGGATCCAAGAGTCAATGCTCGATCCTGCAAGCACAAATAGGTGAGTACACACACTCACACACCCACACACACATGACAAGGGACGAGAGAATGAAGGCAGCAGATGCGAGGAAGGAGCACAGGGAGAAAAAAAGGAGTCAGAGAACCACAACCCCAAACCCTACAATCTCAGAGAGGAGTGGGGAACCCTCCACAAGAAGTTCAACAGCCACAGAGAGAGGAGCACCACCCACACCTTCTGCCCAATAGACATTCTACCTTCCCCAACCCCTGCCAGCCCCCTCATTAAGTGTCCACCTAGAGCATCCTCCCCCCACTCATCCCCCTCCCCAGGACCTCCCTTCTCCACAAGCCCTCCCTTCTCCACCATGCACTTCCATCTCACCCACCCCCCAAGCCCTCCGTTCCCCCCACCCCCAAGCCCCCCCTTGCCTCCCCCCTAAGCCCTCCACTCCCCCCCCCTAAGCCCTCCATTCTCCCCCACCCGACTAAGCCAGCTCTTCTCCCCCACTCCCCTAAGCCCTCCCTTTTTCCTCAACCCCCCCTTAACTCTCGCTTCCCCTACCCCCCCCCAGCCCTCCTTACCCAATAGCCCCCAAGCCCTCCCTCCCCCCATGTCCCCCCAAACCTGTCCGTCTCACCCCCCCGAGCCTCCCCCTCTCACCCACCCCCTTAGCTTCCCCCTCTATCCTCCCCCCCCATGCCCTCTCTTCTCCCCCATCTCCCAAGCTCTCTCTCCTACACCACCCTCCCCATACCAGATCCTCCCAGCCCCTGCACACCCCAGATTCCCCAGGCCCCCCCCCCCTCCTTAGGCCCTCCCATCCTGAACCCTCCCTGTTTCCCCTGCTTCAGTGGAGTCAACAGAAACTGAGGAAGGACAGAAGAGAGTCAGTTTCAGGGTAATGTACTCGAACATAGATGGGATTACAAGCAAGACAAATGAACTAAGGGAAAGAGCACAAGAAGTAAACCCCAGATATAATCGGACTCACAGAAACAAAACTCTCCAGAATCATAATGAATGTGGTGTTCCCCCAGGACTACACAGTTATAAGGAAAGAGAGGGAGGGTAGAGGAGGAGGCAGAGTGGCCCTACTAATGAGAAAGTTGTAGAGTTTCAAGGAGATGGCTATCCCCGTCTGTGAGTGATTCAGAGACTAAATAACAGGCACCAGGACAATGGGAGGGACAAGAATAGTAGTAGCAGTGATATAAATCCTCCACCCAATGACAGAAGACCCAGGCAAAAGTATAACAACAACAACAACACGGCAGTTAATACTATAATTGAGAGGGCAGCCTCTGCGGCTTGTAGAAATAGATCACATCTGCTCATCATTGGGGACTTCAATCATGGAAGGATAGACTGGGAGAACAAGGAACCGCATGGAGGTGAGGATACGTGGAGAGCTAAACTATTGGAGGTGGCGACAAGAAACTTCTTAAGCCAAAATGACAGGGAACCCACAAGGATGAGAGGGAATGATGAACCAGCGAGACTCGACATAGTCTTGGCTCTGAACGACTCCGACGTAAGGGATATTAGTTTTGAGTCCCCGGTAGCAATGAGCGACCACAGTGTACTGACGTTTGAGTGTCTGGTTGAAGAAGCGTTAAGAAAATCAAGAAGGGGAATTGAAAACTAAAGGCTGGCATTCCGAAAGGGAATCTATGAGGAGATAAGGAAATTCCAAAATTATATAACATGGGAAACTGAGCTCAGAGAAAAGACGGCCAAAGACATGATGGACTACATCACGCAGAAGTGTAAGGAGGCAACAGACAAGTTTGTCCCGGTCCTAAAGGAAAACAGCGAAATGCAGATGAGAAACCCATGGTTTAATCAGAAATGTAGGCCAGCTAAGCAGCTAAGTAAAAAGGGCATGGAGAAACTATAGGAATAACAGAACACTTGAGAGCAGAGAAAGATACCAGAGTGCCAGGAATGAATATGTCAGGTTGAGAAGAGAGGAAGATGGGCAATACGAAAATGACATTGCAAGCAACCAAAGACTCAACCTAAATTGCTGCACAGCCACACCAGGAGAAAGAAACAACAGTAAAGAAACAGGTAATGAAATTGACGATAGGGGCAGACAGATTCACTACAAACGACAAGGAAGTGTGCGAAAAATGATTGGATACTCCAGGATTGGTCTTACATATGCGGAATACAAGGTTCTGAATGATTCTTTACATAGGTTCCTGAAGGCTGTTCTGATGTTAGCCAGTCTTGCATATGCCGCAGATGTAATTTTTTTTATGTGGGGTTCAGGAGACAGGTTTGGTGTGATATCAACTCCTAGATCTTTCTCTCTGTCCGTTTCGTGAAGTACTTCATCTCCCATTCTGTATCCTGTGTCTGGCCTCCTGTTTCCACCGCCTAGTTTCATTACCTTGCATTTACTCGGGTTGAACTTTTGTAGCCATTTGTTGGACCATTCATTCAGTTTGTTTAGGTCATCATGTAGCCTCTTACAATCTTCCTCTGTCTTAATCATCCTCATAATTTTTGCATCATGTACTCACCTTGTTGTGCTTGTGGGGGTTATACCTCAGAACTTTTTCCAGCTTCGTCTTGTGCTTAACAAGGTAAGGGCTCCATGCTGGGACCGCATACTCCATGGATTGGTCTTCCACATGTGGTATACAAGGTTCTGAAAGATTCCTTACACAGGTTGCTGAGGACTGTTCTGATATTAGCCAGCCTTGCATACGCCGCCGATGTTATTCTTTTTATGTGGGCTTTAGGAGACAGGTTTGCAGGCAAAAGCAGCAAATATACACATACACACTCATACAAGAAGAGAGAGCAGTAGACTAGGAACAAGCAGCCAATACATACCTGCTCTACTCTCCTGAAGACACGTAGAAGGTTGAGTCCTGCCAGTTTCTTCAGGTCCTGTAGAGACCAGGATGGATCCTTCAGGAGCTCAGCAAACAGCTCAGGGTACTTCGACACATCCTCTAGGCCCGCTGGCGTCCTGCATCATCAAACACAACTTTAACAATGAATAACGAACTGTAAAAATCATCGAATGCATGTATGAATTTAAGTCTATCTATATAAATAAAAATGGAAATGTTCGTTTGTGCATAACCGCTAATCTCCGAAAGTTCTTCACCGATTCCTTTGAAATTTTCACACAACGTTCCATTCGCATCCGAGCAGGTTTCTATATACATACTATATAGATGTTACGTCTGTGAAGGTAAAAAAAAAATGCCTTTTCAGAAAAACTGTGTTTTTCATGTGTTTTTCATATGAGGGAAATCTTCGAAACCTCTTTACCGATTGCTTTGAAATTTTGACACAACGTTGCATTCGAATAGGCTCGTGTTTTTATATACCTACTATATACCTGCCTTACCTGTGACAGGAAAAAACTTGCTCTTTTTTTGAAAAAACAGCGTCATCTGTTGGATGTAAGAGCAACATGCGCTGTAATCTCCCAAAGTTCTTCACTGATTGCTTTGAAATTCTGACACAACGTTCCATTCGAATATGCACATGTTTTTATATACCTACTATATAGATGCCTAACCTGTGACGGATAAAAACATGTTTCTTTTCAAAAACTGCGCCATCTGCTGCACGTAATAGCAACACACTTACGCAATACTAAATATGTTACGAATTCCATTTCAATGTTTCCGATTTCACTGATAAATTTAATATTCATAGATTTCTATTTATTTTAATTTTTACTGAATTATTTTGTGTGACATTGTTTTGGAATTGAGCTGTGTTTTTACGATAGCGTTCATTTCATAAGTATAAGTATAAATGCCACACCTGTGATGGGTAAAAATATTTTTTTTTAAGAAATAGTGCCATCTGTTGCACGTAAGATCCACACACGCTATACTAAATATGTTACGATTCCATTTCAATGTCTTCGATTGCATTGACAAATTAAATTTTAATACATTTTGATTTATTTTCATTTAGATTTTATTTTTTTGAGTGACATTGCATTGGAACTGAGCTATGTTGTTTACCATACCGTTCGTCTCGTGAGCATAAGCGAGTATATTGTTCAACTCGTGATGCCACACCTTTGACAGGTAAAAACATGATTTAAAAAAAAAACAGTGCCATCTGTTGCACATAAGAGCAACTCACGCTATACTAAATATATTTCGATTCCATTTCAATGTTTCTGATTTCATTGATAAATTAAATTTTCATAAATTTTAAATTATTTTCATTTTAATTTAATTATTTTGTGTGACATTGCATGGGAATTGAGCTTTGTTGTTTACCATACCGTTCATTTCGTGAGTATAGTTCAGTTCTGTATTTTTTCATATTTTTCATTTCGTTTTTTAATTGTTTTTTCTTATATTTCAGTGATGGGAACATCAGATCATTTGATGTTCCCAATTTTCTGATGAGAACATCAGATCATTTGGGAATGCATCGGACAAGGGAGTGGGGAATGGTGGGGAGGACGATGGAACCGGGGAGGGGGAGAATGGTAGGGAGGACGAGGGGACTGGGGAGGGGGATATGGTAGAGAAGATGAGGGGATGGTGTAGTGGGAATGGTTAGGAGGACGAAGGGACGGTGAAGTGATGGATGGTAGGGAGCACATAGGGATGGGGTAGGGAAGAAATGGTGGGGGGGGAGACGCGGGGAGTGGGGAATTGTTGGGAGGACGAGGGGATGGGGGACTGAGGAATAGTTGGGGGACGATGGGACAGGGGAGGGGGGTAATGGTGGAGAGGACTGGGAGACAGGGGGAAGGTTGCTGTGGCTCAGCAACGCACATGCCTTGCTGAGCCACAGCATCGCGTGGGCGGGTACAGCTAGTTACAAATAAAAATGTCTTATTACTTCCTTCGACCGACGATAATTTCAAATTCAAAAACACGTATTTGAGTAACTACACCATAATATTAACATATCATCCAGATATAAGAGTGTCTCAAGGTGTGGAGAATCACGCACGTGGAAGCTAATCCTCAGTTATAATGGTAATGTCAGTGAGACATTTCCTTGTCTAATGCACAAGATGGGCCAGTCAGGGGAGGGGAGTGGTGCTGTCTGCACATTCTCATTCTCATTCATTCTCCTTTTCTCTCACTCTCTCTCATTCTCTCTCATTTCTCATTATTTTCTCATTCTCATTCTATCTTATTCTCTCTCATTCTTCCCTCATTCTCTCTCTCTCATTCTCTCATTTCTATCTTATTCTATCTCTCTTATTCTCTCTCCCTCATCAGTCTCTCTCATTCCCTCTGTCTCTCTCCTTTTTTCTCTCTCTCTCTCTCTC